ATTGCATAAGCAAGCTTTTTAGGAGTGCTGTTCATGCTTTTAGGATTGTTCGGATGCTCCAGTTCTTCAGTGGTGTGGGTAGAAATTTCACTCTTTCTTATAAGTATGGCGTGATGAGAAACTTAGCCTTATTTTTTCTCGCTGAGAAACCTTTTCTTAAGGGTCTCCTGGGAGCGAATAACCTCTACCTCAAGGCGTGGCAACTCCCCTTTCTCCTGTCTTCATTATTAATTTAAACTCTTCGCTAATACAACTACAGATGATTAAGAAATCTTTTAATCCTTTTTCTTCATTTGATGATAATGCCAAGTAGTCGTTTATGTATTACACAATCAGTCTTGAAGGTTTCAATGAAATCCTTAATTTCATTTCCAGCTTGTTTATGTAGGTGCTTCCCAAAAGAGATGAGAGTTTATTTAACCCATAGAAAGATCAAATATCCGTTTGGAGATGCTAACATTTATTGCAAATAATTAGTTTTTATTATCAGATTGATCAGTCACATTATGGGCTCCATTTCACTTATACCCACCCCCAAGACATTGCCCACTCTTTCCAAGTTTTCCAGCAACACTATTAGCAACTTCTCTTGTTAGATGTTACCATACATTGATTGTACGTCAACGCATACCGAGCCTCTCGTCCCTTCGGGTCTGATGCCATTTATTCTTTTAGAAAATTCGTATGAATTCTTCACCTTATTCGTTAATTTACCTTACCTCCAGCTGAACTCGATCCGGACTGTCTTAGTGTAGTGACTAGTTCCGTCACTTTGACAACTACGTCACACAGCCGCGAATGTCTTTGGGTCACAGGGTAGGCATGAGTTTCAACGAATACCAGTCTTTTCCCATATCACTTTGTGTGGTAGGATCGTTGATGGAGGAGTTGTATTTACTATTGGAATTGTATATATTTTTTTTAATTTGTTGCTTCATGCGTCCTTTTGTTTATCATTCTAAGCGATTTCCAATTTTTGATTATCTTCGGTAAACCGTATAATTCCGGGGCTTTCGCAACCTTGCTCACTAGTAACTTCATTAATCACTTGCTGATTCACCTGCTTATGCACATTCCTTTAATCATTTCTTGCAGCTCTTACTCAGGCTTCATTGTTGGGTACTTTGATAACTATTGTTAAGTTGCTTTGTTCCTGAGTATACTTTCTATATTCTTCGTTTCTTATTTTCTGGCCATAACTAGTGTCTTCCCTCTTTTGGTCTGCTTGTAGCATTATGCGATTATTTCTTTGCTTAACTATTTCTGTCTGTAAGCCATTGATAATTGAGATAATTGCATTTCTATTTCTCGTTTTTCATCTTTAAAAAACTTTCTGGAGGCATTTATAACCTCTTTCGTTGCTTTCCGTTCACACCGGAAAAATTCAAATATTTCAGCACCAAGAGGGGCTGAGGCAAATTCACCAAGTCGTCTCTTTTCTTAATTGGGCGCATGAGCTTGTTACTCTATGATCCTCATCTTTTGCACGGGTTGGTTTGACCTTATGCTGCCTTTGAACCTCATATTTAAGTAATTTTTTATGGTGCCTCTGTTGCCAAGTCTGAAATCTTTTTAAATATTTTACCTTTTATTCCTTATAGCTATTGATAATCCTCACGATTGAGAATCACACCTAGATCCTGCCTTATTATTGATTTAATTTTGTGGTGTTCCTAAGACGAACATGGACTGTTTCAATTTTCCTATTTTGAAACGACCGAATACAGTCTGGGGGAGCTGGCAATAGAAAGACAATCATTGAAATATGGCGCCAATTAGAATATTCCAAACCCCGCGGCCAACGGCGGAGCTGAGAGAGAGAAGAAAAACAACGTGACCGAATTAATTAGAATGTTAGCTACATGATATACCCTTACGTAGTTAATCATGTCAACTTCTGATTGGACGCTGCGGTGCCATGCTTTGATTTGGCGACGCGAAATAAAGAGTTAAGATTAGTCACGCACTCACGTGATCTCTGCGCCAAAGTATGTTGAGCCATGGCTACGCATGGAATGTAACAAAAACTAAACATTGAATGGGAAAATTTTGGGGATAGGTCACTATACTTACATCGGGCTTAACTATCTTGTTCATATCTTAACTTGCCTCTGGCCGAGGTAAATATACCATTCTTCCAGAGGCATAATATGGTATCTGACTAATCTTGCTGCAATAATAATTGATAATAATAAAACCCACTAATCACTCATCCATTTTTGAATAAGTTTTGTCTCAGTACTTTGCGAATACCCTAACGTTTAGCATTGCTTACAAATGACAAGTGACACTTATTTTCTTGACGATAATCAGTTCTTTGTTTGGTAATATTTATACACTCATTTGCTTGTAGTGATCAAGACCAAGTGCATGTGACCTTTTGTTTGATCGCATTCATCTTTTCTGGATACACTTGGTTAGACCTCGTTTTCACAACTTACCTGTATTTTCACTATATGTCGGTTTCCTACATGCATCCCTATTTATCTTGGCACCTTCATTAATTTTCAGAACACCTAAACATATTAGAGCATTATTCTTATTTATTCCATAGTAAACTTATGCTTAACCAATTGCTGGCTCATCAAAAATATTCTTATCGTGTCACCGGTTAGTAAAATATTCCTCCACATATGTAACTAACAGTTTAGTAATCAATAGCACCTTCATTGGGTGATCCCCTATTTTCGCCACAACTATTTTTCAACAGGATTACACTGCTGCTCCTTATTGCTGTTCGTTGCATCTTTCGTCAAGGTTGAGGTAAGTGCTATCTATGGATAGGGTAAACAGTCTAAAAATGAGGGCTTTGCTAAGACTTAATCCCATTCACTCTCTGGGAGACACAATAGAGTAAGTAATAAAGATTAAATGACTCCCTGTACTTAAACGTTGTGATACCTTAATAACAATTAAAAACTTAAGGATAAATCGTCTAAAATACTTCACTTATATTATCTTGAATAAAAGCTCACGCATTTTTTATTGAATACTGCTAATATTTTGCCGCCATTACATTTTCCGCTTAACGTAAGGTAACATTATGCACAATATCATCTTTATTAGCGACAACCAGCCTTAAAGGTAACCTCTCTGTAATGTTTGAAAGGTTTCATGTGAGATTGACCAATGAATCTTTTTGTCATAAGTTAGCTTAGTGGCGATATATCATGGGCCCCGTTAAAAATCCTTTATTCGTTCGGATCAGCAATTAATCTTTGCCATAATTACCTCACAACCGCTTAACTCTCTGTTTTCTCATACCTCCTCTACCTACACTTTGTAACCATCCAATTACCATCATTCCTTCGGGTGGACTTACTGACTCTGTTGTTCAAAACCTAAAACAGAAATCCGCCATTTCTATGACACCGTCTTGGTGGATGATTCTAAATCGAGTGAGCAAAAAGCGGATGCTGCACTCCAGATAGCCCAGCGCTGGGAAACCCTCGTATCCAAAGCACTACCCTCAAGCCGACTGGATTTGTGTCTCGGTTGGGAGCTAAAACATTCCCGGCCTCCTCCTGGCCAAGCTGATCGCGGTCACAACCACAGTAACAAATCTTCCCAACGTTCATACTGGCCCTCGACCATCCCCATTGCTACCACCGTATCTTCTGCTGTGGTCGATTCGCTCCCTGCATCTCATTCGTCGAGAAACTTAGTTGACAGAGCTCTGCCAGGAACTAAACACCTAAAACCTTCAGAACAACTTAAGTCAACTTCAGCTGGCCTGCCTTCTAGAATTAAGGACCAAGCACATTCTCCTTTGCCGGAAAAGGCCAGCCATCTGGTGGTAGAAAGGAGTCTAGAAGGTGCTCCTTCCTTACCAAACACATTCGCAACCTGTACAGACCCTAGCCGACCTAATTTAGTTAAACTGGGTCAGCAGACCGAATGCCAAGTAGTCAAACCCTGCCCTACCACTGCTCTCAGACATTCTGGGAGGTCAGACACTGCGTCACCTGGAAAAGACCCCACTAATAGACCTACTTGGTTGGAGCTTGGCAAGCTTCAAGTTTCTACGCCCTCACAGATATCTCCGGACAATTCTTCTCTTTCATTTTCATCTTTGTTCAAAGTGCGTCATCCGCCTGGCTTTACAAGCGCTTTCTGCCCTCGATCAGACAATATAAACGAGAGTGAGCCCGGGGAAAGTGGAAGTGAATGCATCCAGACAGAAAGGAGAAACAGCTTTTATAAAGATACACAATTTGAAGATAGTGAATTCCAAAGGAGGGAAAACGTAGCGGAAAGAGAAGAGAAAGGAGCGGAGAAGGAGGAAGAAGAAAAAGGAAAAGAAGTAGTGAATATAGAAGAACAAGAAGAAATCAATGAAGAAGAAATAGAAGAAGAGGAGCAGCCTAAAGCGACAAGAGGGCAAGACGAGGAAGCTAGCCAGGAAGACCACTGTGAAGACAGCAAAGATTTGTATATCAATTCTAGTCTCTACAGCCAAAGTCTTTGTCAGTCCTTATTGACAGTTAGTGGAGATCTTGAGCAGACAAGCTTGTTTTGGCCTTCGGTGGAAAGTAGCAGTCTTGAGAAGGTATATCTTGCTGGTGAAGAAGTGTGCTGGAAACGTCTGTTGAATGAAGCTGGAGTGGCATCCCCCAAGACAAAAAATCCAGTGGCATTTGTTGGTGAACAGAGAAGTAGTCATCGAGTAGCTCGTAGCTGGAACAAATTTATTTTACGAAGTGAAGAGAAAAATAGGCAATTCAAGAGAGATGATGGTGAAGAACTTCGAGTAGAAGAAGACAATTTAGAGGAACAGACTGAGGGGCTATTGGAGGGCGAAGGAGGAGACGATTTAGAAGAAGAAGAAGAAGAAGAAGAAGAAGAAGAAGAAGAAGAAGAAGAAGAAGAAGAAGAAGAAGAAGAA